CGAATCACCCTGAGAACGCCCCCACTACACCCCGAGGGCCCTTGGAACGCCCTTAGATGGCCCCCAGAACGCCCCGCGCGGGAACGCCCAGCGCACGCCCCCACGCACGCGCAGCTCGTCGCGGCGTCGTCAACCGCGTGGAAAGTGGACCGGGTCCACTGGGCCGTGGCGACCACGGCGGCGCGGCGTGGCGCGGGGGGGCGATGGGCGATCCAGGGGCCGAGATGCGGGGTTCGCCGGGAACCGTTCGAAAAGAAGAGACACGCTCGGTCCAGTTACATGTCTTGAGCGGCGACTGTCGCGGCACTGCAACGCTGCTGCGAGTCACTCTGCCGGCAGACGTCCTTTGGTGGGAACCGAGGAGCGTCCTGTCCGGCCCAGGATGTGGCGCAACAGTGTCGACGCATGCGACGCATCGGTGCGTCGCCGAGGATTTGGCGTCCCAGCCGCAGTGCTACGGGGCTGCGTCGCACAGTGGGCCAGAAGATCGGCGCAGGTGGACAACTCCAGACGCCTTTTGAGCTCCACAGTCGCTAAACAGGGCTCGAACCAAACGTGTGACCCCACCAATGGATTCCTCGTTCGGAGAGCAATCCCTTGGTGGGGGGTAGTCACAGGTTCGGTTCGGTTCGAGTCCAGCTTTGCGACTCTGGAGCTCAAAACGCGTCTAGTTTCGGCCGCCTACGTTGGTCGTTCTGGCCCACTGTGCGGGGCCGGGCGCAGACCGCTGCTGCTGTTGTGCTGGGCGCTGTTGTCCCCGCGCGCCGTGTGAGTAGGCAGCCCGCCCGCACAGGAGCATTCGGGTGGCCTAAAAGCAGCAGCTATTTTCAACTTGAGAGGCTGGACCACTTGATCTCCCCCTCCCCTCCCTCCCTCTCTCTCTCTCTCTCTCTCTCTCTCTCTCTCTCTCTCTCTCTCTCTCTCTCTCTCTCTCTCTCTCTCTCTCTCTCTCTCTCTCTCTCACACACACAAACACACAACGAGGCGCCTTTCTTACTGCGATGCACTCTTGCAACATGGTCCCTGTAATGCGCATCACAAGTGTACACTTAAAGTTCACGCAGAACGCTGCAGCCCGCAGTAGGGATTCCAGGTTCGCGCGCATCCTGCGTGGAAAGGCGTTGGCAGCGTACACAAACTCCCCTCTCTCCGGTCGGCTTGTAAATCCTTTCACGGCGTGCCAGCGGTTGTGCCGGCCAGCGCGGCCAGCCAGCGCGGCCGGCCAGCCCCCTGCAGGCCTGCAGCCTCCTAGCGTGCACTCGCATACCGCGCTGTTGTTGGTGCAGTCCGTACAGTAGTCTGGTGTGAACGCCCTAGCCGCGATGGACGCACCCAGCGCGCCGCCGCCGTGCCGTGCCACGCCGTGCCACGCCGTGCCGCGCCATGCCACGCCGTGCCGCGCCATGCCGTGCCGCGCCGTGGCCACGCCTGCACCTCAATCGCTTCCTCGCGAGGCGCGCACGCTGAATACGCAACGAGGAGGAGGCGAGGCCTGGAGGAGACTCTGTCTCTCTCGCACCGCTGCGGCACCACCACGAGTGCGACGGAGACGCAGCGACGGAGCGGATCCTCGCGGAGTGGGCCTGGAGGCGACCTGGAGGCGGCCGCCTGGAGACAGAGGCTGGAGGGAGGCGAAAGGCACGCGAATACTACACTGTGGGGAATTATTCCGCAGGAAAATTAAGAAGGGGAATTAAAATGAGGGTTAATGCGGAGTCAGTAATTGACTATATAGACGGGTTGGCTACGGTTGGCTATCTTCTTGATCTTTGGTTGTAATCAGCTCCATTTTGCGAGTCGTCACCAAAAACCAAATCAGATCCACGCTCCTTTCTATTGCACGTTACTATCTCGAAGTGTTAGGAATAATCAAAATTTAATAACCAATAATCGTTTTCGAAATCCACGGGTCACGGGCGCCGCTTTCGCCAACACGGCGCTGACGCCGCACAGTGGGCCAGAAGACCGGTAGAGGCGGTCAAAATCACGGACGCATTTTGAGCTCTATAGTCCGCTAAACAAGACTAGAACCGAACGTGTGACCGCGCCCATGGATTCCTCGTTCGGAGAGCAGTCCATTGGTGGGGTCACACGTTCGGTTCGAGTCCCATTTGGCGACACTGGAGCTCAAAACGCGTCTAGAGCTTTGGCCGCCGGCGCCGGTCTTCTGGCCCACTGTGCGGCGCCTGGCGGAGAAATGGGGAAACCGTCGAGACATTGCCGCGATCGGTTCCATAAGAGGAGCCGACCGCCCCGATGCCGACTCTCGTTACGGTGTGGGGGCGCCGCCTTGCCAGGACAGATATCGCCGCTCAAGATGGTCTAGAGAGAGAAGGAGAGAGAGAACACGTCGGGGGTTCTAGAGGGGGAGAGAGAGGGAGGGAGGGTTACGCCCCGCGTGCGGACGGCATACCGATGCGGACATGCCAAAGCGACGCGTCTCCAGAGAGATCGGGGACGCAGGGGGAGGGGGGTGGCGCGGCGTCCAGGATGCGTCGCAGCACAAGGTGGCTGGCCGGAGCTTGCGTGGCGCGGCGCGGCGTAGCGGAGCGTGGCGAGCTTGTCCAGGCGCGGCACGGATAGCCAGCGACCGCCCCTCGGACTCCAGCAGCGGGCGGGGAAAGGGCGGACAGACGGACGGACGGACAGACAGGCAAGCGGTGGCTGAGTCCGTTAGCCTGTGCCTCCCTTTCGGCACGCGTCCAAACGGCCGGAGGACGAAGCCGCGGCATCCCATTCAGGAAGCAAGGACCCTTCGTATTCCTTTGGCGTCCGGAGATGGCCCTGCCCGCAGTGCCCGCGCCCTTCACCCTTCACCGACCCCCCTCCCCCCTCCTCTTCATCACGCACTGCAGCTGCGGACAAGGTGCTGTGCTCTGCAAGGCGCAAAAGTAATGCTGTCAATTATTTTTTATATTTTTGTTGCAAACTGCTCTAGAACATCCCTCTTCCATCTCCCCCCCCCCTCCCCCCCTCAACTCACTTCTCCTTCCCCTGCCTTCTTCCTGCCAACGGCACACCCACACCAATTTATCCCTAAAAAGAAAGTGGTGTTCAAATGACGATGCGTCGTGGTTCTCCAATGAACAGTTGACCAAATGTTTCTTTGTATTGAATCCTTTTGTTTTAAATAAAATATATTTTTTGTTTGCGCTGCCGATACGCGCGGGGTTGTTTAAACGGCCGTTGAAACAACTTCGGACTTGTTCGGTAAATCACGGTAGCAGAATCAAATCTAGTCTCACCCTTTATTTTAGGCGGTCCGACGAACGATTGTAATGACTATCGCACGCAATCAGGATCTCGGTGAACCGTCTGGTGGACCGCACGGTGCACTGCAAGTCCTGCCTCGGCACAACAGGACGAGTTATCCCAACAAAGGATCAGCAATAGTCGCGCACTTTTGGAAGAATTCTGGCCTACGTACAGATATAATTTTGGACTTTTGGGAGAATTCTGGCCTACGTAAAGATATAATTTTGGATGTACGAAGTCCGTCAGATGAAATCAATTGTAGAGTAATTTCATCGATCCTGAACCGGAAGTCAAAAGACGCTCTATTGGCCGTAAAGTAAACTCTTCCAAAATCTAAAACATGTACAAATCGGTGAACGGCAGAAATGCTTTGCAAATCAGATTTTCAAACTTCCGTACTTTTTCCGTGCCTGTTTTCCGTAACAAACTGCCGAAGTTTTTGTAGTGTCTACTTCCGGTCTAGCATCCACGAAAATTCCCTACTGATTGCCAGGCCCAGTTGGCCGAAGCTTGGGGCCGTTTGGCAGATTTGCCAAAAGGGCCGTGGCTGCTTTTCGGTTGGCGGCTTGGCCGGCTGGTCACATCACCCGATCATTCGGCCGCCGCCTCACGATCGCGTCCGCGTCGTTCGGCTCGGGGCGCTTCCGTTCGGGTCGCGTTCGGGTCGCGTTCGGGTGCGACGGCGGGCGCCCCGAAGACGTCCCGGTGCGACGGAGACGCACGTCCCGCTACTTTCTCGGGGCAGATGATGCTCCCCATTGTGTTCTCTGTCGCACGCGGACGTGCCGCCGGACAGCCTGTCAGGTCGCGGCGTGGTCGCGCCCACATCACAACATCGCACCACCGGCCGCGGCATCCGCGAAGCGCAACCCACAGCCCGCCATTTCTATTCGGGGACAGTTTGATCAACTTCCGCCTTGACACCCTTTCTTTCCCATGCCGCATTCGATGGGGCTGACCAACAGGGACACCTTGGAGGAGTTCCAATTCTCGTCGCTTGGACAAGTCTCTTGCGCGATTAGGAAGATCTTTAGCGGCCTAACATCGATGATGATGATGATGGTGGTGGTGGTGGAGCATAAAGGAGGCAAATTTACACCGAACTGCATTTTGCGCCAACGGTAACGAATTGCACAGAGAGAAAAATCCCACTTTAACTCTTCCAATACTTGTTACGAGAAGACTTTACTACGAATCACGAGGTATTTTCTATGCAGCTTTGCATGTGCTCAAAACACCGTGTAAAATATCACAATTTTATTCTAAAGGTCTGTAAAACTTCGTCACGAGTGAAAGTGAGGACCCTTTTCTTGAAACGCGAACTCCGGTTAGCCGACGCTTCGCTTCGCGAGCAGGAAGTGGCCCAACATGGTCCGGCCTCCCGGACAAATTTAAAGGGTGGACCCACCAAAGGGGTGGCTGCCTGACAGGCGAAATCTTTGTGTCGTTAATTTATGCACCCCCCCCCCCCTCCACTCTCTTTCCTCTGTACCTGGCGGCGGAGCGGACACAGCTCGCGGTCCGGTGCCGGTCAAACAAAAAAGCACTGTCATAACACCCAAAAGGACGGAAATGGCAATTATAAACTCCGCTAAGACACACACACACACAGTGTAAAAGGCAGAGCTTGCCGACGGTGTAAATCATCAAACCGCCGTGTGTGTCGTTTGTGGGGTGGTCTCCGTGTTGTAAAACCGTATCTCTCGATATCATCTCGGCTTTTTTTAAATCGTGCACTGGCGACATTAAATATCAGCGACCATCGCGTCGGGTCTTGGTGCGGGCATCTCCGTCCAAGAAATCCTGCGTCGTTACTGTAGCAACTGAGGAGTAACGTAATTTCGTTTCGGAAAAGACGTCTCAGGAATAATGTTTGCGGTTTCGCTACTGCACTAGGACTGGGATAAGCATTTTACAAAAGACGAACTTTAGTCTCGTGGCAAGGAAAACGGCCGATTAGGACAAGCCCCCTTCTTTTCCCATAGCCAGCGCGACCGATTGAGCACCGCCAAGACCGCACCGATACAGACGCTGCGAACGCACACGCTTTTAAAGTCCACCAAAACCTGGAACGAGAAAACAGCGAAGGTATCGCAGGGTGTATTATTCTGGAATAAATGTAAATGCAGAGTCTGAATGCCTCTGAAACATGTCGAGCAGTGCTAGGAAGATGAGGGGAGAGAAGAGGGAAGAGGAGAGGAAGGGAGGGGAGGGAATGCTTGGCGTGGTTGCCGCTGGTCAAAGATCGCCATTGTCTCTCTCGCGGCTCTGAAAGATGATCGCCAGATTCGCATTGCGCGTCTCTCTTCCTCCAGGCGTCGCGCAGCCATGCCGTCATTTGATTTCCTTCGCTCGCAGCTCTGAGAAAAACTCGCGGACAGTCACCTGCCCTCGGTCACCATCTCAGTCTTACAACTTTGGCGAGCACACTTTGTAGCTATCTGCGCATACTTTTCACGTCTGTTAAGGTTAGGTTATGTTTACACTCGAAATATTTGACTACGAATTAGCAAGCCACTAATTTAACCACTAATTGACAAAAAATGGACGGCTGATCCATCAATACTGATGACAGTTTGCCCACCAATTGATGACACTTTCATCAAAGCTCTGAGCATGAAAGCAATGTTACCAACCGGTATGATGACATTTGCCTTGTCATCCATCATTTGAGTGGAAATTTTCAGTGCAGAGAATGCGATGTCACCAGCATGAAAAAACAACCGTAAGTGGTTCGTGACATAAATCGGATCAAAAACAGTAGATTACCTGGTCCATTCCTATCGTAACGGAAGAGGCTCTTCAGAGGAGGTCGGAGTCCACGGCATGTCGGGTGTTTCGGGCTTCGAGGCACCTGTCTGACGCACAGTGGACATGATCAGACCACGTGAAGCTGGCCTAGTGCTGGCTCCTCGAGTGACACTGCAACAAGTGTGCGGACAGTCACCAAAAAGGGTCAAGCTACTGCGGGACAGTCATCGTGAAACAATGCGATTTTGAACACATCTTATCATACGAACAACTTTGGACTTCAGATGAGTAGCTTAGCTAATAACATTTCTGAAAGGAATGAAGTACAGTATGTGCCGGCTCTGAGTCAACATGACAGAAATGATTCATGGGACCCCGATGGGGTAGCGACTCGGCCAATCTGGCTGATAGCAAATTAGTAATCCGTAATCCAAAATTTCGGAAGTATAAAGGTACCGAAAAAAAATTTGGAGGTTATCAGAGGTATTTCGGAGAAATTTGGAAGTTATCGGAGGTATTCCGGCATAATCCAAGGTTAATCTTGTAACTTTTTTGATTAAATCCGGAGGTAATGCAAGGGTTATCAAGGTAATCCGTAAGCCGGCTGCCGCCCTGACACGAGATTTCCCAGTCGTTTCCCTCTCGGGCAAGCCTCTCCCTTCCTGAGCCAGCATCTTTTCCTGACATGCATTCAAGACCTTGTTCGAGGCGGCTCAATCCTTTTGGACTCTGACTAATGTGCAACCGCAAGGCCAGGTGGTGCAGGCAAACTGAACATTGCGTAACAAACGAACGACACTCGGACACTCGACGATGATTCGCCAGACCATGACACACCATTGTGGGCCAGTTTGAGCCACAGCAGTAGCTCGAGTGCAACCCCATCGGGAGCCCCGCGGCCTGTGGCGCGCGCTGCGTCGGACAAGGTTGGACCCGCCGCCCGGCCGGACTCCCCGGAGCATTGTACGCACCTGCCGGGAGGGCCCGGGCGAGCAGGCGGGCGACTCAATCTCTCTCGCTCTTTCGGACAGGGCCGTGCGAGCGACAGAGACAGAGCGCCAGGGGGGCTGCGGCAAGCGGGCCAGCTGCTGGAGCAGCACCTCTTCCCCCTTTCGTCGCACCGTGCATCGCACGCGCCAGACAGCCAGGTGGGCGATCCAATGATGCTGCCCGCCGGACTTTTAATCTCCGGAACAGCTGTTCTTGACTTGGTCCCGCACAAGTCAGTCCAGCCCTGGCAAATTGCAGCCGATGGCCGAAAATTATCATATCGCAACATGCAGCAGCCCGATGCAGCGGCCTGCCGAATCCCCAAGCTCAATTGCACTCTTTGGGGCACTTAATGCACACGATGATTACACATTTTGGTTTAATTCATGCCTCGTGTGAACGAACGACCCCCAAAAATGGAATGAATGAATGGGTAAAGTAGTGATCAAAGATGAATGAATCAAAGGAAAATGAATGAACAATGATGAATTTAGACTCTAATATGAATTAATGATCAAATATTTATGAATGCTGAAATATGAATGAAGGATCGAAGATGAATGGCTAGATGGACGAATCATGAAAAACTGAAGCGATGTCCGAAAATGAACGTCTGAATGATTTGACTGAGCGGCAATATTGACGAGTTAGCGTTCTGTGAGGGTCGCAAAGCCAATGACGGCCGCTCGCTCGGCCCGCATTGGAAACAGGACGCCTGCTCAGATAAGGCACTGACATTACCGACTGCCAGACAACACACAGACGGCACGGCAATGAGACGCACGACTTGGAGGCGGACAGACAGACGGACAGACACGCAGGGAGACAGCAGACGGCCCTACAGACAGTCTCTCTCTCTATTGACACCCAGCTGTGAGAAGCCTGGGTGGCGGGCTGCGCGGCGCTGCGCGTGAAAGGTCTATAGGTCAGCACACGTCTTTCTTCCTCGGGTCTAAACAAATGACATATAAACGTGGAGGGAAGGCCTCGCCGTCTCGTCTCATGAACATTCAATGCGTTTTCCCTCCTCGCTGGAGCTGTGTTATTATTGACTGTTAATTGCGCTCTTGTATATGCGCCCCTGGCCAATTATGCTAAGTGCAGCGCAGCCCAGCGCAGCCCAGCGTCCCGTCCCGTCCTTCCGGGGAAAATAGCAGGCAGGCTTTTCTTGTGTCGCGTGTACCGTTCCGTGCCCGTCGCCGGCGTTGCCCCATCCCAGGCGACACCTAGTCGAGTTTCACAAATTCGGCTCGCCGACAAAGGACCGGCCACACACACGGTGCATCAGATGGGCCGCCTCCGCCACCTCTGCCCGGTAGACTGAGAGTCGTTTTCGTCGCTGTCTCTCGCCCACCTCCACGGCACGCCCCATGAGTCCGAGAGAAACAGAGCGACGAAAACGACTGTCGGAATCAGTCTGCAGGAGCCGCACATTAACGACTGCTGGAGTATAAGTCGCCCCCTCAGCCCGTTGGCGTTGGCACCTTAGACCCGACCGGCCATCCGTCAGCGCACTGGAGGCGGCCCCGAGAAAGAGACCGATTAACGTAAAATTCTCATTAATGGGGAGGCTTTGTGTCGCCCCGGTTCTGGGGGGCGGCAGTTGTCTCTCTCAAGGAAGATGTCATGTACAGTCCTGCCACCAGCCACCAGTATACTCACTTAATGTATTTGTACAATTTTTAAACGTGATCTAAGACAATTTGAAACATGCGAACTTTTTTGTACATTTTTGTCCGCAGAATCGCAGAAATTCGTGTGAAAATGCGTAAAATTTGTGCGAAAAGCACGTATGCACAAAATTAAGAGACCAAGTACAAAGCTTGAAAAAAGTTTGTATTACGCTCTCACTTGATCATCGGAGAAGGTGCACTGCTGGTGTGGCTAGTATGCCCTGCAAAAACACATACTTTTTTGGCAAGTCTGATTGGGAAAAGCACAGCAGTGGCTCCACCCACAGAGTACCTCGGCCTCTATAGAGTTACTTGAAGCCCCTGCCGAAGGCAAGTACGCCCTGCGAAACTGCTGATGCTGTTGGGTACTTTTTTTTTCGCGCCCGTTTTCTTTCGGCTCGTCGATCTGCTGTATCGAAAGAGGATAATGCACATCTCCCCTCTCTGCTACTTTCACCGTTCCCTCCGTGCGACATTCCTCCTAGCAGCGCCAGCCTTCTTTTTTTTCCGGAGACACTCAATATTGTCCGGGATGCATCTCGCAGCGGGCAAGAACCTCGGCGAGGACCAGAAGAAAGCATTTTCGGCAACATCATCATTTTAAAAACAACGAGTGAAATGTATGTCACGGTTCAGACGACAGCAGGTGCGTTTCCGACGACGCGCGGGGCCTAATAAGAACACGAAGAGAGCTTTGTCCGAAAGCGACAGAAAATAAGACAACACTATTGATTTGGGGTACTTTGTTTCGATTTTGGCAGAGCAGTGCGGTGCGCGAGTCAGCTGATCGGCAGGGCGTCACGGACAATGGTCTTGTTCGGTAACTGGATAGCACGTCAGGCGTGCCGCTGGCGTGCCTCGACCGGTCGGGCCAGTGCGGCACGCGCCGGCAGGTCCAGGGAGTCGAGACGAGTCCAAACGGGAGCCAAGTCAAAGAGGGGAGGGGAGGGGGGAGATCGATGAATCAATTGAATTGCCACTGCAGAGCTTTGTAAAGTGAATCAATGCGAGCGTAAAACCGCCGCTGCAATTTCTACATTTTTCACACTTGTTCGTTTCGACCATAGGCAAGTGCACAAGATCCAAAGAGTCTCAGCTATGCCTGGAGTGGCGAAGGACACTCTGTCTGGAAGAAATGTGCTTCCGAGTATACACTTCCTGCAGAGCAGAGGGCAACTTTGAACGTGATGGCTTTGAATAGCAATGAACGCAGTTTTGCCCACCGCGGGTGAAAAAGCATGACAGGTTTGAGATGTGGCGGATAAGGGGGCAAGGTGGGCCTCACTCCTCCGATAATTGGTCGAGAATTTCACAGACCGGATGTCTTCAAGACGCTTAATAATTTCTTCCTTTTGCCCTCATCCTCGCGTGCCTCTGGTGCCTCAGTGCGCGAACCTGCGCGGGGCAGAAATGAAACGAAAGGAAGGCAGTCGGTACGGAGGATGGAGCCTGCGGCGGTGGCATGAGAGCTACGATTTGGATTTTCGGAGGTTCCAAATGACGGACCTCAGGTTCGGTGACCCCAAGTTATATAGCTGAGAATGTAAAAAGTATTTCGTCAAATAAATATTGAGTTATATCTCGCCCCGGTACGGAGCAAAAAGAAACCTTGAGAAACTTTGTGAAAGAAAGTTTAAAACGTTATTTCCGTTTTACGTTAGTATAACAGGTTCGAGACATCAGATGAAATTGTGGGCGTCCCTGACAGAGTACATCTCGGTTAATAAGGCGTTTTGGGGAGCGCGTTCTGGTGTCACGCCTGCCAGACACGTCTGGCACCTCCCCTTCTAGACGCCTTATTAAAACAACAGCCCAACTTTGACATCGAAACCTGCCTCCTGCCTCACACTCGCAGCTCAGCAAATTTGAAAAAAAAAAAAGGAAAACTACCTTTTTGCAATAAAAATGTTAAGAGCAAAGACAAAAAGGCTTGTTGCAAACGTGCTGCTGCCTCTTTCTTTCCCGTCCAAATTCTTGCCGGTCCTCGGGAAGCAGCTGGAGCATGGAACGCGCTGCCTGCACTGCGGGCACCTGATTCATCCGTAACGACTTCCTTTCGTCAGGTGAGCGCCACACACACACACACACACACACGTGTCCTCGCCCCGACTTACCGTGTCGCCGCAATGACAAACGGCGATGATCCATAAACGTTGCCGAATGCGGTTTGGGCCCCAAGGATCAGACAAGGAGGATGAGTAAAACATTCCTACCCTGCTCTTTATCTATAAGTGTGTCTTACGCTTTCCTCTTCTTGGAATTAATCACTCTGTGCCGTGAAGTCCTTGGATATCAGCGCCACTGGCGTTTTTTATGCTTTTTTTCATACATACTCGTGTAAGCTCTCTTCCTGCCTGCACAACGTTCGTCCGTTTTTTTCGAGCCCTTGTGTGGCGCTCTGTTTGCTATACTGCGCTTCGGTCACTTCGGACCCCTTGCTCTTCTTTTCGTGTCATCCAGCTGCTTCAGCTCTTCGTTGCTCTTCCTACCCACTCTGCTCTTCTTTTCGTGTCATCCTGCTGCGTCAGCTCTTCGTGGCTCTTCCTACCCATCCTGCTCTTCTTTTCCTGTCATCCTGCTGTTTTTGCTCTTCCTTGCTCTACCGACTTGTCCTCTCGCATTTCTTGTCTTGCGCGTGTTTACAGTTTCGGAATCACTGCCAGTATCTCAGTTCCCCATACGGGATGCGGGGTAGAGAAAAAAGAAATGCAAAATGACAGAGAGAGAGGGGGAGAGAGGTGCGCTTTAGAAGGCAGGACGCGGCGCTGCGCGGTGGCGTGGCGGTGCACGCCGTGAGGTGGCGAAGCGTGGCGTGGCGGGGCGTGGCGCGGCGTGGCGCGGCGGGCAGCTGGACAACTGGACGTGGACTGCACGCCAAGTGCCATTCCGTGCCGTATTATGCGCCGCCGGAGACACAGAAGGTGGTGCACGCTCACACTCACTCACGCACGCTCACACACACACACACACACACACACACACACACACACACGGATGCGCGGGATGGCAAGCGCCGCTATGCCCCGACTTTACGCCACGCTCCGCCACCTCGGCGCTCGGCAGAACCGAATGCCTGCACCACAACAACAAACTGATTCCGAGAGACGTTTTCGTCGCTCTGTCGCACGTTTAGGGGGACGCCGTATGAGTGCGAGTGCGACAGTGACGAAAGCGACTCTCAGAATCAGTCTGTAGGGCTGGCAGCTCCCCATGTAAAGGGTTGGGAGTCGAAGGAGGTGCCGGTTGGGGTGAGGGGTAAGCAGGGGTGCGTGCAAAAAGGGTAAGGAGGGCTAATTAGAAAATTTTCCTTATTTTTCTTCACCGGTAGTCACCTCTGACGTGACTGTCCACAGGCGAATCACGAATGGTGCCAAAATAGGTAAATTGCGGGTGACACCTAATTCGTTCGAAATTCTTCTCAAACTAAAACAAGCTGGAAAAACTAATCTTGTCGGGAAAGCGGGGCACACAGCTTCTTTTCACTGTGGTTGCGGTGCTTGTGATGTGCGGCGCACTGTATGCTACTGCTGGCTGGGCGCGGCCGGGCGGCTGGGCGATGCGCTCGCCACTCCGAGCACGCGTCGCTCGCGTGGCGTGGCATGGCGTGGCACGGCGGCCAGGGTGCTGCGTGGCCCCAAGCCGCCTAGTGGCTTGACCTCTCCAGCCGGCCATATAAAGTTTAATTTCGACATTCCACCGCATTCCACATGATAAACACAACGGGTGAACGGATGAGAAAAAATTGTTGAACGGTTCGAAGCGCACAGTCACGTTTGATACGAACCATGGAGCTATCAGAAAAGGTAAAGCAGAAAAGTGTTGTTTCGGTTTTTTGAACATTGTGATCATGACGCACGCGTACTGTTTCCTTTTGTCAGATACTACTACATCCTCTCCTGTTCTCTTTTCTCAGAATGCGGCTTTCAGTAAATTTGCCGTTCGCTTCAGTTTTCAGCCAAACCTGTGTTACAGCACTTGACTGCAAATAAAGTGCATGCGTTTTTTCCCTTCCGCCTTTTGCGGCTTTGGCGCGTATAATGTGTTAAGTCCTGCAGCTATTTTACAGCTCGGTGCTCCTCACGCCCATACCTGGAGGCGAGAGAGAGAGGGGGGGAGGGGGAGGAGAAAGCGGTGACGTGGTGACGTGGATGCGGACGCGACTAGCTTGCCAAAAAGCCGCATGATCTGACGCCTGCGATTGGCCGGAACTCTACCGCCCGATTCCGTCGCTCTCTCGCACCGATGGGGCGTCTCGCAAGGGTGCGAGAGAACAGGGGACGAAGCAACCTGTTCGAAATCGACTCAGGAGCTTGGCAAAGTGTAGCCGGCCTGGCCCCGGCCTCTAGGAGAAAGGGGTGACGCACTCACTACATACTGAATGCTTGTGGGATTTTTGTACCATAATTGACGTATTTGCACTGGTGTAAATAAGGTCCGATTTTATAAACATTCAAGCATAATGTGAAAATATGGTCCCAGGTCACTCTGCTCCCGCATGGGCTGGTAAGTGCTGCACTGTGTACGGCGGGGAAGCAGTGACGCTGTGCCGTACTTTACTGTTGCAGCAGGAGTATCATTGCTTTGGTCGCAGACTCGCGGTCTCCTTGTTTGCGTCGTTTGATGGCCGCGGCTGCGGTCCTGGCTCGGGCAGGGTTATGGGCCACACACACACACACACACACACACACACACACACACTGCAATAACCTTTTGTGCGGATGCACCTGTTGTCAAGTTCACCACAGCCTCCACACCTTGTCGCTCTTCGCGGGTCGCCGCGTGAGAAAGTGCAGTTTGTCACAGCATTCGCCGATATTGTTTTTTAAAGCAGCAAGGACTCCACACGGACAACACCAGGCAATGGACACAAAATCTTACTGAGTACACACTTCTAGGTGCGTGCTTGAAGTGCATGCTTGTAAGCACGCCCATAGAATGTGTGTACTGAGCACACACATAGATTATGTGTGTGGGAAAAACCGAAAAATCAAGAAAAAAAGTCGAAAATCGAGTTCCACTTTGTTCCGAAGAGGGCTGCCGTTGTTAGCGAGACGCGCGGGTTTGGTATTCAGCCCGACGGTCCAGACGTATGCCCAGCATCTCATTTGAATGGCAAGATGAGACGCCGCGGTACACCTGTCAGTGTGTCACTGTGTGTGTCACTGTTGTCACAAGACGGATGACAAAAAAGAGCGCGCTCGCGTGCCTCTCCCTTCCGTCCAGGTACTCCCCCCTCCCCTTCCTCCTCTGAGCGGCGAGCTCACACGTCGAACGACGTAGACGGTACAGCCGTCGTGATGGCCCTCCCAGTTTGTCTTCCTAACTTTCATTTGCATTTCTCGAACGTGCATGCAAGTATGGGCCGTGCGGGCAGCGCCAGCAGCGCCTACTTCGGACGTCCAGACACGGCGAGTCGGCACCACAAAATTTTGAGAGGTGTGCGCTTACTTTTCGGACGACGGAGGGAGAAATTTGAAAAATTCGGAGACAAATATTCCAGAGAAAATTTAAAAACAAAAATCCGGGAGAAGAAATTTAAAAAAATTTTAAGGAAGAAATTTAAAAAAATCCGGAGAAAGACATTTTAAAAATCCAAAGAAAGCAGTATGAAAATATTAAATTTTAAATTTTTTTAAAAAAATCCCCAGCATCTGAGACCGCCCTTTCGCGTTGGTACAGACCTTTAGTATTCTACAGTAATATTTTTCGTGGAAATGTTGATGGTTTTTCATGGACATCCACATTTTTTGCTCACGAAAATAGTGAGTGATACCCTCTGCACCCATACGATGCCTGCCCATTTTAGCAACCTGGTACCTGGTGACCCGACCAAAAAAACTGTGGCACCACGGCATAGGGGCCATGGCACCATGGTAGGGACCATGGCAGGAACCAAGCACCATGGAAAGCACCACGGCACCATGGCAGGACCAGGCTCGCTTCCAGGAAATGGTTCTCCGCAATTATCAAGACACCAAGGATGTCCCTCAGGATGTACCTAATGATGGCCGGGCAAAAAGGGGCCTCTAGAGGAGCCCCCTATGGGGTCATGGGCCCCACCCCAGCCTCCAGCAGCGGGCACGTGTCTCGGGAAGAGGGGGGGAGGGGGTACAGTGTCGTACTGTGCGCACGGCGCTTATGTACGTGCGCAACAAGCGACACAGCATTCGGAGCTAGGCGCGGACGCATCGAAGAGAAATAAATAACCCCCTTTCCGTCCTGTTCTGTCTCTCTCACTCACTCGCACACACAGGCACACACACACGCGCGCGCTCCCGGCGTCAGCAGCCCCACCCATAGCGCACGCTTCCCAGTAGCTCATCTGCATGAGATGCGCCCTCCAGTCCGTCCGCCCGTCCGTCGGCCGGTCGTTCCATTGTCAGGAGAGAGAGAGAGAGAGAGAGAGAGAGAGAGAGACGGGAAAAACTCACGCGCCGCAGCCGCATTCGGAAACTGTGCATGACTCCAGCGACGGTGTCTCTGAAAGGGGCACGGCCGGCTCGGCCCGGGAGGAGAGGGACGACACCGCCGAGCGATTCAGAAGAGCAGTTTGTCGACTGTCTCTCTCGCACCCTTATGGATTGCCACATGAGTGCGACAGAGACAGAGCGAGACACTTCTGAATCGCCGGATTGACGGGAAGACTAGCCGGGGCCGAAGGAGGTAGGACAACTGCGTAAGTCCCGGGAAAAATAGCCTGGCCAGCTAGGGGTCATCCCCGGACTGGCCTGGGAGGATGAATGAAAAGAGGAGAGATCTAGATATGTGCCCCAGAGACTGCTGTCAGCGACGACACGCCTGCTACTGACCTGCCGTTCACAGTCCACAAAATCGGAAAGCATACGTATTTCTCTTGACGAACTATGCATTTTCACGACCGCTCTGCTACAACGCACTGCAGGGTTAAAAATAATCAAACCCTAATAGCGTAATCACCAAAATTCTCTGAATTTCACCTACTTTGGGGTCGTTTTGGGCTGTTTTCTGCTAAATCCCGATAATTTTGAGGCTTACGCCCAAAAAAGCCTAATAAAATAGTCGGCTCACAGGATTTAAGAGTGCATACCCTTTCAAATTATAACTTACCTCGTTTCTCTACACCCGAAAAAAAAAAGACTCCAAAACGGGCGAAAATGAGGCGGCGACACGACGTCGCGCCAGAAATTCAAA